CTCCCAGGAAAGACACATGGCACTCTTGTGCCCTCCCTATTCCTATAGGAGGCATGGCTCATGGTGGCGAGGGGTCAGATCTGGGTTCAGGCTCTCCTTGTGCCATAGACTGTGGAATAGGGCTGGACCTGCTAGCCAGGCTGTGTCTGTTGGCCTTAGCTGGTTCCACCTGTGAAGGGGGTGACAAAGGGTCCCACTAACAGGGCTGGGCGTGGGGTCATGGATAGATGAAGAAGTCTAGTTTGTGACTTGGAAAGAGCACATGCACACTCCAGAAAATGATCTGAAGACAGTATGACACTCCCCAGGAAATGATCTTAGACAGTATATAGTGGGAAGACCAATTGTTATTTAAAAATATCTTCAATGAAATAGGCAATTGTTCTTTACTTTAGTCACCCACACAGATAATTTTTAAAATGACAAGTAAACCACGTTCCATAGGATCTTGAGTTTAGAAGACACTTTGAGGTCATTTGGGCCAATGCCTCAAGCCAGATCCTCTGTCACCATGTCCATGAGAGCAACATCCACCCATTCTAACCTGAACACTTTCAGTCAAGAGGGATTAATTCTCTCCAGGGAGCTCTTTTCTAGACAGTTCCAGTTTCTGGGCACAGAAGAACCGAAAACTTAACAAATAGAGTTGCAGAGTCCCAATGGAGCCCCTGAAAACCTAACAAAGAACACAATAGGGCCATTCTGCCAGAAAGGAGCCAAGTAACGTGAAGACCCAAAGCTTCACCCATGCAGGTACTTTTCGAAAAATAAAAGAAAAACAGTCAATTGACAAATTACTCTGTCCCTTCAATTAAGGATGTATTCCAACAAAATGAAAAATAAATGCGAATGTGGAATAAAGGGGACCTCGGATATGGAAAGCAGTGGTTAGAAGGGAAACTCTGGTTATTACATTCTCATCTAAGCCATTGCTGATAATGTGACGGCATGATTTAGAAAGGTTTTTAACAGGGTGTGGTGGCCCATGCTTGTAGTCCCAGCTACTCAGGAGGCTGAGGTGGGAGGATTGCCTGAGCCCAGGAGTTCAAGGCTGCACTCCAGCTAAGGTGGCAGAGTGAAACTCCAACTGAAACAACAACAACAACAACAACAACAACAAAACAAACAAAAAGAGAAAGTCCTTTCAAGAAAAAGCACAATATTGAAAGAGTTTCTAAAAGTAAGCATGATGTCATCAGAATCTTGGAGAATGAGGCTGGAAAGAGCAGGGATAAAAAGGAGCCCAAGATGGCAGCTTCTCCATTTGGGATCTCTACAAATATTAATTCTTGATGCTAAATTTAAAAATATATATATCTGTTTTAAAATATAAGATATAACTTCTAGGTAGAACAGAAATAAAATTTAAAACTTCCAAACCACTAGTGAAAAAACGGGGGAAAAGACGACATAATCAGTCCTGCAAAAGTAAGGGAATAAAAAAATAGTACAATGGATAGAAAATTTATTAAGATGACAAGGAGAATGATTTTGCACACTGAGTTAAACTTGGGTGGTCCTTCTGTTCTAGAATGATCCATAGCATGGTTACTCTCTCTTCTAGATACTGGAACAGGGAAGAAAATGACTTTACTGCTGCCGCCTCTCTTTCTACAACCTGATGTCTGTCCTACCTGCACACACGCACACACATACACTCCCATCATTTTGATGTCCCTCTCTCATGTAGGTTGTGACCTCATTAAGCCAGCTCTCTTCACTACTCTCTGCAACTTTCCTGCCCACTGTGAGGAACAGCCTCGGAGTGGAAGGGTACCTCCCTGGACATGCAGCAGCCTTCCGCTTGCCTCCTTTCTGCCCCACGCCCACACCTGCTGCCTGCCTCCTTGGATCCCTGCGCTGTGCTAACAGGATCCCCAAATTCAAACAAGATTCATGAGGATCCTACCCTCAAAGCTGTCTTGTTTGTAAACATTTTTTGACAACGTTTAGCATTACTACCAGCACTACAGAAGCCTCACCGATGACCCCAAAGCAGTCTGTCATTGAGGCCTTGGAGCCATCACACAGATATAGTCAGGTACCACTGGTCTTTCCTCTTTGGACTATCTCAGTGAGCCTTATATGACAAACTGGGCCAGGTAAGGAGCTCACATTCAGGACCAATGAATGTAAATCAGAAGCTAGATTTGTCCTGAAACTTGCCCAGTGCTGGATGTGAAACTTGTGAAAGAGGATCTGAGAAAGCTTGGGAGACTTTCATTCCCAAGGTCAAGTAGGCACAGCTTGCAAGTCTTCCTAGCAAAGGCTCACACATCTCATAGACTACCAACAAGATATACTTTCTTAAAATAAAAATATGTTTCAGTATGAAGTGACAATTAAATGCTTCTCATTTTAACCTTGACACCATTAAAAAAAATTAAAGAAACAGTCCATTTTTATTTTCACTTGCTCTGGTTTTTAGGTAATTGTATTTTAGTCAGTTGCATTTATGTCCATCTCTGTTTCTCCCTCACAGCACTACAATTCCCTTGAGGCCACCATACCTCATTCTCAAATCTTTAACATGGGAATGATCTTTATGATAAAACAAGAGATGAAAAAAAGTACATCAAACAAGGCGTGAGCTGTGACAACACACACACTTACACAGCGTGTGTGCACACAAGGGGACCAGAAGGAAATGATTAAATGTCCTGGCCATTCCACTACCAAGGACACTTGTTAAATGTAAGACTTACCCTTTAAGAAAGTTCTCAAGGCTTTGCTTTGGGACCCCTTTTAAGAGTGTGACCTCCTAAGTCTACCAAGAAATGGACACTTTCCCTCCAGAGTTATCTGGCTCAGTTCTTTTATCTTTGGTAACACCCACAACATCATGTGCTTTGGAGTTCAATTCTCCAGGCACTTGGGTTTCACTTTGGTCTGCTGAAGCAGAGACATCTCCGCCTCCCCACTCTGTCCTCTGTTCACCTGACTTCCTGCTAAGCTGTCCCCTGGGGACTCCCAGGATGTCCTGGTCTAACGGTGTCTTCTCTGAAGCTACTTGCTTTGCTGACTTGAACGCTCTTCAAAGGAACAACAACAACACAGCAATACTGTTTCCAAAATAAAACATTTATCCAAAATAAACTATCTCAGATAGCTAGCATTTGAAAATAGACTTGGTGCTAGAGTGACACTGTCTACCAGCTTGGCATTTGAGGAGCATTCTGCCTCCAGAGGCTTGCAAGGTGCCCTCTATTTTCACAGAAGTTTCACTCATCCAGAAGGATCATAAAGGGTACGTGGTCCATCCCTGCCACTGGGTGTAAGACGAAACAGAGGCACATGAATGGCCAGTGAGGCAAGCTAGAGCAAGTATAGTCCCATGGCTCTGACTGGGTGCTCTGCCACCAGTTGTAGCAGCTCAGCAGCCCCCCACCACCACAGTGGGTGGGCCAGGGAACAGTTGGTTCCATGCTTCAGGCTCTTAGGACATAGATGATATTAAAGATGAGAGGGAACAAATAGTGGATTCTTTTGTTATATATTCATATTTTAAAAAATATGTATATATAGAATGCATCAGTAACTTTGAAGTCTCTATCTTGCAGACACTCTTTCTCAATGTCTTTACATATATATATATATATGTATATATGCACTTCATATAAATAGGATGTGATAAAAGTACATCTGACTTTTATAAATGAGCTCTACTTTCAGTATCTTAGAAAATGTCCTTAGCAAAATGATCCTGCCTTCTCAGAGTTCAGTTATGGATACAATATTGCTTAGACAGCACTATTCCACAAGGCCCTGATGAACAACTGTGTTGAGCATCTCCTGTGTGTCCCACATTCCACATTCAATGTCTGAAGTATCTATGAATAAAAGACAAGTGACAGCTGAAATTAAAGCACTCTTCCCTCAAATATAGAACATAGAGAACAAACAGGGAAAATTATTTTCTGACTCATGAGAAATTCATACACCAATACCCAAAAGAATACTTCAAAAGACACTGATGCTGCAATTTCAGCTTTGCCACCATCAGGTTTTACCAGTCTGTTTTGTTTTTCTTTAAAAACAATGGCTAAGGTTAGGGAACTGTAAAGTTTTTTCCTGTCCCTGCTTCCTTCCTATGCTCTGACAGACATGCTTTCAAATACAATTCCACACTGCTTTTTTTCAAATTAAAGATGTGCTAGTAGCCAAGCACTAGAAAACAAGGCAGCGCACGCGCGCGCGCGCACACACACACACACATACACACACACACACACACACACCCACCCACCCAAAGAAACACGTTTTAGTTTAGGATTATAGTTTTAGTTTTGAGCTTAAAAAGTAAGTAATATGATATTGTGAAAAGAATAAAAATACCTGTACTGTCCTTTTAAATAAGGATGAGCTTAGAAGTTAGGACCCTTGAATTCAAAATTCCTGTTCACTTTACTGTTAGCCACTGAAATTCTAAAAAAAGAAAAAACCAGTAATGGAGACATCCTTGGCCTGATATCATCACCTCTCGGTCACACAGTCACTACCTCCTGAGAGCCAGCTGGGCCCACTCCAGGTGCCTAGGGCAGGGTCCAGGGCTACACACAGCTGTGAGGACTCTGGTGGCTACATGAGGGGACATGGTCAGCAGGCCAAGCCCATAGTTGGTCTGGGAAAGCCAAGGCTGATATAATTTTCACACTGTCTACAAGTCTGCCACTGAGACAGGAATGAATACAATGTGTGAATGAAAGAAAACCACATAGGTGCCAAAGCCCAGCTGTAACTTCTACCTGAACTGGCAAGGTTTGCAATCAATAGATTAATCTTACAGAGGGACTCACTTAAAAGGCCTTAGGGACAAGGCCTGAGAGGCCCAGAAACATGCTCTGGGTCCTTTTAGAGTGGCTCTTATTGCCCTGACAGCCACAGAGTGGCTCGGGTGGTGTTTTTTCATTCTCAAGGACTTCTTTTATTCTCAAGGACTTGATTATGGCAAAATCAAGGTATCTGAAAGAGACTAAGGAGCACACTCCAGGGATACTTGCCACTGAGCAAAGGCTTGTTGAGGGTGTAGAGAGCGGGGAGATCCTCTATGTTGGAGATGCGCTGGTACATGGCCCTGGAAAGATGGTCCCCATGGTAGAGGCTGCCCAAGATGATGCTTGAGAAGTAAATGGGCTCCACAAAAATGCTGAGCAGTGATCCCTGGATGCCCACCACGTTCCAGCTGTGGGAAGAAGAAAGCACACTCTTTAGCGGGTCTCAGACTCAATGCCAACATGGCATAGCCCAAAGCTGCACAGTCACATAGATGCACTTGCAATTCTGCAGAAACTCCAACCAACCAGAAAAGATCACAATGAAAAATGACAGACTGATTCAGGAGTTTAAAAATTTAAAGAGAAAAATTTATCAAAGTTATTTTAAACTGTGAAATGATTTTTTGCCATTATGTGTTCCCATGATGACACATTTACCAAAGATTAGTTCCAAAGAGATATTAATGAACCACGTGTTTCTTGTGAGAAATCTGTGGAAACATCAAATGGGAAAGCATGTCTTTATTTTCTTACAGTAGCCCCCTTATCTGAGGTTTCTGTTACCCATATTTAATTTTGATCTGAGAATATTACATGTAAAATTCCAGAAGGCTTTCAATTGTATGCCGTTCTGAGTAGTGTGATGAAATCTCATGCGGTCCAACCTGGGGTGTAAATCCTCCCTTTTTCCAGTGTCTCCATGCTGTGGATGCTCCCTACCCACTGTTCACTTAGTAGTCATCTCAGTGATCAGGTGGACTATTGCGGTATTTAGGTCACCCTTATTTTACTTAATAATGGCCCAAAGCACATGAGCAGTGATGCTGGCATATTGCTATAACTGTTACATTTCATCATTGGTTGTTGTTACTCTCTTACCATGCCTAATTATACATTAAACTTTATCATATCACAGATATGCATATATAAGGAAAAACACACCATATACAGTGCTGGGTATTATCTGGGGTGGGGGCACTGTACTTATGAAAGAACAGCTTTTAAAGGAGCCCTCCAAAACACTCACCTGGTAATTTCCTGCTCCTCTGAACCAAGACTCAGTTCAACATGCTGAGCCCTTGGAGTTGGCCTGCCCTCAGGGAGGATGGTGTGAGTTCCTGCCCCTCCTGCCAGCTGGGTGCACTGGGTGCACAGACAGATGGAAGACAGGGTGGTGGGCATTATAGAGGAGCTGCACATATGTAGCTGACACAAATCACCTGAGGATGTAGCCCAATGGCCATCTTGGTCTTGTCCATGCTCAAGCACAGAATGTCTGCACTCTACCAACAGGAGAGATGCTCTGCCAGACCTGGGATGTGCTGTGTTCTGAGCACCCTTTGCCAGGCAAAACATAAACAGGGCAGGGGAGGAGGCACAGCCTAGGTGCTAAACAACAAAGCAATAAAAAGGCAAACAAATAAATAAAGAAGTAAAATTGAAGTCCATGCATTGAAGTAAAATCAATTTGAGAGAAAGGGCAGGGCTCTGAAAAAAAGAAAAATATTGGCTCCCAGGAAGGCTACTTGGGTGACCCTGGATCTTAGCCCCAAAGGAGGGGGCTGTGAGGCCATGGGAAGAAGGCATGTCCTAGCCTGGGGTGGGGGGGAGTGCAAGACAGGAGCAGGGGTAGCTCAGGAGAGGAGGCCAGAGGAGGGGCAGGCAGGGTTCAACTGGGTGACCAGGAGCCCTGACAAGGGACCAGGTGGTATCTAGAGGGCAGAAAAACAGGTCTGGAGGACTTCCGGCATACCAGAGGCCCCATCTAATTTTAGAGAGGTGTCTCAAGAGACAGACTGGCCAGGCATGGTTTTACTAAGTGATGTCAGCAGTGAGTGGACACTGGAGAGCACAATGCCCAGCACCAGCAAGGACAGAGATAAGGGCCAAATCCGGTGACATGGGGACAGGAAGGTGAGAGCAGAAACTCTAAGCATTCGGGCTGAGTTTGGGGGTGTGGCAGGACTTTCCCAGGTTAGAACCGCCCTCACTAAACCCTGCCTCCCACTGTGCTACTGCCACTCCACTGTCATTTCCTCTGCCTGACATAACCCACTTACATTTCAAGGCCTGAAGTCTCAGGGCCACACTCTGTGGAGGAACAGAAGCAGGAGGTGGAAGCCTAGCTGGTGATAACTCACAAATGAATTGGGAAATACAGAACCTCACCTGTCCAAACCTAGCCCCTGCTCTGCCCCTGCTCCCATCTCTATATCTGACCTCACTTGTCCAAACCCAGCCCCTGGTCTGCTCCAGCTCTGATCTTCCAGCTGCTCAGTCTTGTCTGTCTCTCCCTGTCACAGCGGTCAGCAGCAAGTCCCTTGGAATGTATTTTCAAGATAGATCTAGGATCTGCCTTTTGGCTACTGCCACTGCTAGAACACGGTCAAGTCATAGCCTCCCACCTGTGTCATCACACTCTTCCCTGATAGGAACCTGATGTCTCTGTCTGAGCCCCTCTTCTGAGCCTCTCCACACACAGCCCCTGTGAACACAAAGACCAGTTCAAACCACTGCTTTGTGCTAACACCCTCACAGCTCCCGAGAAAACACAGGTTGTACCCACAGCCAGTCAAGCCGTCTGACCTGATTTCCCTGGGGCCTGCTGTCTCTCTTAGCCTCCACTCCACCCCAAGATACTGGCCACCACTGGGGCCTCAGCTGAACACCATTCCCAGGGTGGCCACAGCTGCCCCCGCCTCTTCAGAACTCTGCACAAATGACCTTCTCGGGGGTCTCCCTTACCCACTGCCTGAGCTCCTCCATACCCCACCCATCAGAGCATAATTTCCATGAGGGAAGAGAGTTTTTTCTGCTCTGTTCACTGATCTGCCTCAGCACTCGCAGTGTATATTTGATAAAGAAGCTCAATAAATATGTGTTCAATGGACAAAGTCTCTGATTCCCACAACACAGGCCTCCAACCTCAAAAATGGAAATTGAAATGCAACTTTCCCTGATTTACCAGAAAGCACACAATGAGTAAATGCTTATATAAAAACACAGGCCCGTCCTTCTGCAGATGAGAAGGCTGGTGAGTTTAGAGCCCTTTTCAGCTGAATTCAGTCTCCTGAGACAGACTCTAAAGCAGTGATCCCACAAAAACCTGCCTTTGTTAGGAGTCATCAATTCTGAGCACATACACCATAACAGAATTCCAGGAACATCTGCAACTCTGCAGAGGCCCTGGTAGGAGGAGGCCACTCTGTTCACACCCACGAGCCCCACATAGAACAGCCAGTGTCAGTCTCACCAAGATGAGAACAATGAGAGCTGGTGAAGAGTATCAGACGGGGGTACAGTAAAACCAAGGAAAGCCCTGCAGGCTGCAGGCACCAGGGATGCCCACTACAAGTCCATGCCTACCCATCCCAGCACCCCATGGGAGGTGCCCACTTGCAGCGTGGAGCATGTCTGGCTAACACCATAGGCATACCCACACCCACTACATGGCCTGAGGCCTCTTGTACCGGCGCTGAGGCAACTGTGCCTGACTCTTTCACTCTCTTTGAGAACAGGGTTCAGAGCATCACCATCTGCTCTGTCCCCCGATGCAGTGAAGGGCATGACCTGGTGTAAGAGACAGAGTTGCAAATGGACATCAGCCAGACCATATGGGACAGTACTGGTCTACCCAAGCCATGGCCTCCGCAGCACTCGGCCTGACAGTCAGGCCTTGGGCAAGGACCACCCCTCCCTGCCCAACTCAATACCAGCCAGAGACACTGCACATGGCCCTCAACAGACCCAGGGATGTCACTTCTGCAGATCCTGCCTCGGCTTCCTGCCTCCCTGGGCCACCCTTGAAGCCCTCCTCTCCCTACCCCACAGTAAAAAGTCCCTCTCATACTTGTCCCCGAGACTCTGGTCCTCCTTGAATGGTCTTGTTCACTCCTGCTCCAGGCAGCCAAGGACACAGGCTACAGTCATCAGACTCAGACTGACACTCCTGACTTTCCCCTGCTCCAGTGCCAACACAGGAGACTGAACCCACAGCCTCCCACACTCCTCACCATCCCACAGACAACCCTGTGGGGTTACCATCACTGCCAATCTGCCCACCAGGTGGCCAGATACCCTGTAACCTCTGGCAGCAGGACTGTGCCTCCCTCCCCACACCCAGCCTGTGCAACAGTGCCATGCCCCTCTGTGAAAAAAACAGCATGGCCCTGCCTAGCCCCCATCCACTGGCAATCTGAGATGGATGCTCTTCCTCTCCAAAGGAAGGGACAATCCTGCAGCCAACTGGCATCATTCTGGCTGCCAAAACTATTTGTGGACCATGACTTTTCTAGTCATTTTCTGGTCATCCATGCTGTCTTTTCTAAGAATATCCCTTGTTTCTGGTTTTATGGATTATCTTTGTTTTCTCCTTGAGACAAGGTCTCATTAGTTCACAGTAAAAAAGCTTAGCTCTCAAGTGCAGGCCTGGGAGCCTGAGTTCTGCATATGTGTGCATGATGTCCCTTCCACAGGCATAGAGCATGCCCCCACCCAGCAAGGGTCATTCAGACGGATGCCTCTGTGTCACGAAGCTGCAGAAAATAGCTTATAATCCAGGCTCTAATCCTTTGTGGCTTACATGAGTTGGAAATCTCTTCTCCCAGTATGTGGCTTTTCTCTTCCATATGTATGGGGCTTTGAGAAAGATGTTTTAAAACTGTAATTTAGTCAAATGTATTCATTTTTCTGGGTTTTCTGTGCCTCAGTTAAGGACCCTGCTTAAAGTAAGACCGACCATAAAAATAAAAACTGCCAGGTACTGCTCCTCATTTCAGTCCCTCCCTGACCTGGGATGGTGCTTCTGTGTCTTGTGTAAAATGGGTTTATTTCTCCATCTACACAGACAGCCTGTTGCTCCAGGCTTGCTCCTTGACCACTTGGTTCATTCTCTTCCATGAACCCTGGATATGGCCCAGACTGCCAGCTGTAGCCCCAAGCTCCTTCCCTCCTTCCCCTTCTTCCTGAGCGGCAGAGTCTCAATCTCCTTTCAGGTGGCAACGTGAGATCCTGGGCCACCCCAGCTTCTCCCACAGCAAGCCGTGCCTTGTGCCCATGTTCTGGACAATGTGCTGAGTCGACAGGGGCGTGCCTGGGTCTGAAGTTCAGAGCAGGTGCTCAGGGATCTGCCATCTCTAGGCAATGTGGAGATCTCAGAGTCAGAAGATACCTCCCAAATGGTGTGGGA